CTTTATCTCTGCATCCCATCCTGAGGTGACATGTACCCAGTCAATAATGGCCTAGTTGAAATCCCCCATTATTGTTGAGTTTTTTATTGTTATAGCCTCTCTAATCTTCCTGAGCATTTCACAGTCACTATCACCATCCTGGTCAGGTGGTCGGTAGTATACCCCTACTGCTATATTATTATTTGAGCATGGAATTACTATCCATAGAGATTCCATCATACAGTTTGGTTCATTTAAGATTTTTACTTCGTTTGACTCAATGTTTCTAGTGCCACTCCCCCACCAGCATGATCTGTTCTGTCCTTCCGATATATTTTGTACCCTGGTATTACTGTGTCCCATGGATTATCCTCAATCCACCAAGTTTCTATGATGCCTATTATATCCATAGTCTCATTTAATACAACACACTCTAGTTCACCTATGTTATTATTTAGACGTCTAGCATTGGTATATGAGCACTTTAAAAACTTGTCACTTTTTACCTGTCTGCCATGACATGATGTAATTGAATGGGACTCATTTTCATTTGACTGTTTCTCATCAGATTCTACCTGTATTTTATCATCTTCCATCCTCACGTCGGCTTTCCATCAGCCCTTAGTTTAAAAAATGCTCTATGACCCCTTTTAATTTTAAGTGCCAGCAATCTGGTTCCATTTTGGATAAGGTGGAGCCCATCCTTCCTGTAGACCCCTTTCCCAAAAGGTTCCCCAGTTCCGAATAAATTTAACCCCCTCCTCCCTACACCATAATCTCATCAATGCATTGAGACCCTGCAGTTCTGCCTGTCTAACTGGCCATTCGCCTGGAACTGGAAGCATTTCAAAAAATGCTATCATGGAGATCCTAGATTTCGATCTCTAACCTAGCAGCCTAAATTTGGCCTCCCATCCTTCCCTATCTCACTGGTAGCTACATGTATCATGACCACCAGCTCCTCTCCAGCACTACATATATGTCTGTCTAGCTGTCTTGAGAGATCCGCAACCTTTGCACCAGACAAGCAAGTAACCACGCGGTTCTCCCGGTCATCGCAAACCCAGCTATCTCTGTTTCTAATGATTGAATCCCCCGGATAGCTCAGTGGTATGAGCATTGGCCTGCTAAACCAGGGTTGTGAGCTCAGTCCTTGAGGGGGCCACTTAGGGATCTGGGGCAAAAATCAGTACTTGGTCCTGCTAGTGAAGGCAGGGGGCTGGACTCGATGACCATTCAGGGTCTCTTCCAGTTCTAGGAGATAGGTATATCTCCATTATAACTTACTATTACCTGTCTCTTATCAATAACTGGAGTTCCCTCCCCTGCAGAGGTATCCTCAGTGTGAGAGTGCTCTTGTTGCCAGGAAGGCTAATGGCATTTTGGGCTATATAAGTAGGGGCATTGCCAGCAGATCGAGGGACATGATCATTCCAGTCTATTCAGCATTGGTGAGGCCTCATCTGGAGTACTGTGTCCAGTTTTGGGCCCCACACTACAAGAAGGATGTGGGAAAATTGAAAACAATCCAGCGGAGGGCAACAAAAATGGTTGGGGTCTGGAGCACATGACTTATGAGGAGAGGCTGAGGGAACTGGGATTGTTTAGTTTGCAGAAGAGAAGAATGAGGGGGGATTTGATAGCTGCTTTCAACTACCTGAAAGGGGGTTCCAAAGAGGATGGATCTAGACTGTTCTCAGTGGTACCAGAGGACAGAACAATGAGTAATGGTCTCGAAGTGCAGTGGGGGAGGTTTAGGTTGGATATGAGGAAAAACTGTTTCACTAGAAGGGTGTTGAAGCACTGGAATGGGTTACCTAGGGAGGTGGTGGAATCTCCTTCCTTAGAGGTTTTTAAGGTCAGGCTTGACAAAGCCCTGGCTGGGATGATTTAGTTGGGGATTGGTCCTGCTTTGAGCAGGGGGTTGGACTAGTTGATCTCCTGAGGTCCCTCCCAACCCTGATAGTCTATGATTCTATGGTCCCAACTATGGGATTGTTTCCCTCTGTTCCGGTTTGATGTTCTCCTTCCCTGAGACTTTCATCCTCCTCAATAACACAGAGGCTATTGGAGTGGGGGTGGGACTGTTCTACCAGGTCCCTGGAACCCTCCAGAAGCCTAAGGACCCCACTAAATTGATGGCTGCATAGAAACGGCTTAGATGCTTGTCAGACCCGAGTGAGTATTTTCCCGTGGTCAATCTATATGTCTCATCCTATTGCTTTGTTTCCATCCCCCAGTTGCTCAGAAGCCGACTAGAGCATTTATCCAGGTTTGAAGCTGTTGGTAAATTTCAGGCTGAAATGTAATTAACCAGCTTTGGCCCCCATTCTCTGCTGTGCCCCACCTGGGAATGGGACCCTCAGGGAACCTCATTGGCAGATACTACACCAGCCTTGTTGGGGGCTGGAGGAGCCTGGGGCGGGGGGGCTGATTTAAACCTCAATGGCTGATAATGGTCCCTACAGTCCGTCCCTGCCCTGCCTCCTCTGCTGGAACTGGAGGGGAGGCTGGCTCAGGGGCCAGATACGCTAGCTCCACCCTCCTGGGGCCTCCCCTCCCTCGGGGACATGCAGTCAGTGTCCGTACCAAGGGAGCTGAGTGGGTCAGAGGCTCAGACCGTCAGGGCATATAGCAAATATCATGGTAGCTATTCCCTGTTCACTCTCACCGGCTGTAACAGGAACTGTGCACGGAAACCTTATCGATGGTGCCAGGCTGCACAAACGTCACTGGGTGATTGATGGGGGAAGCGGGTTCACCAAAGCCTGATGTGGGGATGGGAGCATAAAAAATCTTCTCTATTCAGGGCTG